GAAAAAAACCGAGGAGCACGATAGCGCTCCTTCGATTATGTGCCGAAAAAAGCCGAAGAGCGCGATAGCGCTCCTTCGATTATGTGACGAAAAGAGCCGAAGAGCGCAATAGCGCTCCTTCGATTACGTGTCGAAAAAAGCCGTAAAACATAAAATAAAACGTTACGAATGAAAATATATATACTATTAATTTAGAATAGGTAACAACAAAATGCAAATTGGATTACTGACAGCGATGCGACGCGCGACGTATACACGCGTCCGAAGGACCGAGCACGTTTCGACAAATTTCGGGTGGGCCGTAAGTCGTCTGTTTCGGCCAAATGCCCTGGCTTTTCTCGACGCAAAATCTGAAGAGCGCAAAAGTGGCTCGTGGTACGCAAACGGTTAAGAAAACGCGAGACTTCAACGTGCAATTTAAGAGAGAAGGTCATTACATTCGAATGAATCTTGTTGGTGCGGAATAATTTGATGCAAGTATTGGTTTGATGGGCGGATGCAGAGAGAGGATACAAGGTGGATAGTCATGGTTTTCCGAAAGAAACGTGTCTTTCATAATGTAGCAGTCGATTGTAATGCCTACAATCACTTGATGTTACGAACTATCGATTTACAGCATGTTTTACATCGAATATCGTGTAGCGTTGCTAAATCGAAGATGCATAAAATTGGAAACAGAACAGAGTATTTACCATTTACTGTATCTAAAATATCAATCGCTTAAAACGTTCAATTTGGGTAAATGATCGATGGAAGCGATTAAAGGCGTTAATCGTTGAAAAGTCGATTGGATTGATTGATTAATGAATGTAATCGTCAGTCGTTGATTAAAGGCATTGATCGTCGAAAAATCGACGATTGAATTAATCGATTGACAAAATTAATCGTCAATCGTCGATTGAAGGAGACAATTAATTATTGCCGATTTTTAAATAGAATTCCATTAAGAATTGTCTTTATAAAGTTTATTATTTCATTATATTTTTGTATTCGAAATGCCTACTTCAATCATTAATCGCGATTAACAATTGAAAGAAATTTAATCGCCAATTGCGATTAATGATTAATAGTAATATTTCAATCGTTAATTGTGATTAATGATCAAAACGAATGTAATCATTAATTGCGATTAACAACTAACAGAAGTAATTGAATCGTTATTAGTTGTCAATTAATTTTTTTCCCAACTCTGGAAACAGTATTTCATCTACATGGTCATCGAGTTGGATAGTGGAGCCAATTACTGTGAAGTGACCAATTACTGTGCCTTTGCTTTATTTTCGGGCATAATTGACTTCATATTTATCGAATAAAACAAATCAAATCTTCTTATTCTTCTCAACAATATAAAGCTAATTGAGCCGTTTATTTTGAAAGTGGCATAAGTCACTTTACCGTAATGAAAAGTGGTGATTTTTTTAAATGTTTATACGAAATTATTTATACCGAGAGAAATATCAGTATCCCGAGATAACAAATACAAGTAAATCTTTTCGAAAATTTGCATCCATATTTTGAAACGTGTTAAAACGCAAACCCTTAAATATATCGACTTAAAAACAAAGTGACTTATGCCACTTTCAAAATAAACGGCTCAATTGATCATCTCATAGTAACTGACTTCATTATCTTATCCACCTATAGAAAAATCACTGAGGTGTCGCTAAATTTTGTTCGCAGCAGTGTCTTTCCTACTCAAGGAGAACTATTCTCAGACCTGTCGAAGATAAGCCTATAAATATTGTGAGCATTACTTTCCGTTGGCAGTCGTTCGCAGCCAGATGATCAGAAGGCGACCGTGCACATCCGCTTTCTCGGGGCTGGCTCGAAAACAGAGCAAAACCGAATCTGTTTGCGGTCGGTCCGCGGCGGTTATTGTTCAGCCGGCCGGGCAATAACAACCGCTTATTGAAAGTACGATTGTCGAATCACTGATGGCGGATAACGCGCGGTCGGGGGACGCACATAATAAAGACTATCCCCCGTGCCGGTGTGTATCGACACGCTCGGACAAGAGGGGGCACGGACGTCTCTCGCTGCGAGAGAGTGGCCGGAGAGTGGCCGTAGCACACGAAAGCTGGGAACGTACCTCGCTGCACCACCTGACGCGACGGGGGGTCAGTGGTTCTCATCGGAAAGCCGGATCGGAACAGAAGGGGGAGGGGAGGGGGAGGGTGGCTGGAAAATATTCGCGGCAATAATAATCTTGCCTAGGAAATGCGGCAAAAACGCTCCCGCCTGGACCAGGTGCGCTGGTTTTCAAAGTGGAACCGAGGCGCGCGTGCGAATCCAAGTTGCCAGGACTTGGTCCCGCGGGAATCACGAATTCACTTAAGGACACGCGAGGCGGTGTCGATCGATAGAGATATATCGGGGCCAGCTAATGATGACTCGGCCGGATTCGATGCGAGAGCATCCTCGGACCCCCTCGGACCCCTCGCCCCCCTCCAAGTAATTTACGAGGAGTCACGATTGATTCGGGTACGAGTGTCGATGTGAGCACCTCGAACGGACGATGCAGCCGTGACGAGTGAAAATACAAACAGTTTAACAGGGATGAGTAGTCGTTTAACGTTCTTGGGATCAGCCGCTCCTCGCCACCATCTCCACCCTTCCGCCGATTCTTTTTCTTTCTGCTTTCTCCCGTCCCTTCCTACTGCAGCGCGCGAAATGAGCTGCAGGATGGGACGTGCGCTGCCGGAAACGAATCACGCTTTACATTCGTTTATCGATCAAATAATCGTTCCCTTCTGTTGACATTTCGTCACGTTTCTAAACACTTTTTTCATCCTGTTGTAACGAATCGAAAGCGTCATGGAGGTTTTCGACGAGTTCTATCGACGCTGAAACTACCGAATTCGAAACGAATTCGTTGTTGAAACTTTTCCCTATGTTTACTGCGATGTAAGCGTGAATAAAGGAATTTATTCGATCGCGTTTTGAGCTTCTGCGAACCGTACCGGGTCAAGTTAACCCCATCGGTTTTAAAACTGCAGTATTTTGTTACAAAGTATATGAGTTAACCCTTCGCACTCGAAGCCATATTAACTGGAAAATTTAAATTAACTTTTTTGACTTATGGTATTTCCATTTCAATGACGAAGTGCATTTTTTTGTGCATACGAAATCGAGTCTTCGGACTCATACAATAGTTAAACTTTTAACAATTCTTTATACCTAAGCTTTGATATTATAAAAATTATCTTGGAACGCGTGGTGTAACAGTTTTTTTAGTGGTGCCTCAGAGTCACCGCTCGAGCGCAAAGGGTTAAGAGGTTGCCGCATCGTACCGCGATATTAATCTGAAGCGATTAATTTTTATGTTTTCGTTATTAATAGTAAATCGTTTATTTTTAAAACGTCAGTTTGTGTTTTGGTAAGGTTTGCCCTAAATCCATTTTAACGTGTATCCTTATTGATATTACATATTTGTAGATGGATAATGTTCGGGGTATAATTAACCCCATCGCTTTTATCGCATGGTTTTTTTTAAATAAAAAAAGACCGGTTATTTTGACCGATGTGGTAGATTTAGAGTCAAGATACGGACCGTGGAACTTTTTTAAAAAACAAGGGATGTTCTTGGTAATCCTCCAGTTTCTATAATACTTGCGCAATATATAATAAGAATTCAAAATTTGTCTCCCTGAAAATGAAACTTAAAAATCTAGTAGAGTGGACTAGCAGATGAGCCTCTATTATCCAAACTGCCTTGTCTCTCATACTATTCCGATAAAAAGGATTCTACTCCAGTCAAGATTGAGAGTTATGGACCATCTACTAAACGATTTCAAGTAATCTAAGCTCTCCTAGACCTAAGGTACAGCATTAGACAAGCATTAGACGAATCGGCTGGAGAGGCTGTTGGGTTAAATAATCGTTGGATATTGATTGTTTCAACCGAACGTGTCCCTATTCGAACGAAAAGGACTAATCTTGCGATATAACACGTCTGACTTACACGTGGTATGCCTTATGTCTACTAATAAAGAACGCTTTACATATACAGGATGTCCTAGGTTTTAATATTCAAACTTTGTCAGTGTATTCTATGGCACAAAGTAAGAAAAAAATGTTATGTAAACATAGGTCATACAGAGCTTTATTAAGAAGTTATAACAAAAATTCAGAATAGGAATAGTAATCGACTTGCTGTTACTGCGAGCATTGGCTTGAATTGATCAGCACATGCCGTGTGTTTTTTTTTATTACAGGTTCCTCTAATAAGAATATAAAACCGCCAAATTATTTAATTTTAATGTTTTACATTTAATTATTAATTTTAAATAAATAAATTTTAATTCTATAATAGGGTATCTAATTATATTATATTATATTATTATTATTACATAATATAATATATTATATTAATTATATTATATTATATTATATTGCATTTTTTTCATACTTTGTGCCATAGAATATACCGACAAAGTTTGAACATTAAAACCTGGGACACCCTGTATATTATATACAAAACGATACGCGAGACGTCGCGATTACACACGTATTTCGGTAAGTTAGATTTCTAATTCAAACAGAGGCCTCGCTAAACATACGGGCAGACAAAGTCCACCCGATCGAGGCCTATCGTAGGAGGAGAGACCCACCGGGCCCGGTGGTGGTCGGGCAGGGGTTGCGTAAGTTGGTCCAGCCCTCCCGGGGTGTTGCGTCAGAGAATCAATTATTGGATCCGTATATCAATCTGATGACCGTGGCGCGTTCATGGTACGCGGCGTCCCGCTGCTTTTACGCATTTTCTTCCCCCCGTCGTGTCCCAGGGCCTCGTAGCCGCGAGCACGCGGCGAAAAGGAGACGGAGATAGGGGCCCCGGTTATGGTCGAGGGCCATATAGAGCGGACGAACTCGCGCGGACGACCGGTTTTCGCCGTTGGTTCGACAAGACGTTCGCCCGGGCGTACGTCGCGCGTGACGTAGCCGCGCCACGTTGATTTTTCGAGCGACCGGCTGAGTGACTGACTTTCTTCTTTTCCCCGCAGGGTGCCGACGAGGATGACAGCGCTTCCGTTGCCTCGGTAAGTTCATCATCGTCATCGTTCCGCCGCGCCGGGGTCCGTGATTATCGCGCGAGCCAGCCAGCCAGCGAGCGCACGCTCCTCCTCGATTCGAAGATAATTGTCCGGCGCGCGATGCCCGGGACGGATAAACGGCCACGCGATCGAATATCGAGATCTTAATTAGAAATTTTCAACGATTAATCGGACCCTCGAATCTAGCCTGCGCGCAGGGTGTTCGACTATGTGTGCTCGGTACTGTCCGGCTGATTTCGCAAGAGGTTCTCAATCTTTTCTGTGTGCGGCCACTTAATAATAGGAGGATAGGCTCATGGATCAGTCTGTGCTAGGAATCGTTTGATTTTTGTTAATATTTTTTTCTTTGAATAGATTAGCTGTTCAAATTAATTTTAGTATTTTATAACAATTTATCGATGAATTCGTCACAGTGGAACAGCCTTACCCGAAAGATGGGCAGGTTATGGAAAACGAGGGAGATTGGTTCATTCACTAAACTTTTTGCGTTCGAATTTAATTAAACTTTTATTTCAGAAAAAAGAAACGATTGAAATTAACGCCTAATAGTTGTCCTTCGATAATGATCAGTGTATTTCACTCTAGTTACTAATACAGTCGCCGACAACTTGTAAACATAGCTAGGCGTCGTTACTAATCATTTTCGTTTTATTCTACTTTGTCTTCTTACACGCCTTTCAATTTATTTACTACACTTAGTCGAACAACCAGTGTACATAGTGGGCCAATAACTTTTATCGCTGTTCCGCGATGTACGCGATCTTTCATACTAATTTACCGAGAGCAAACAATATTCGCAATATGTTATGTTAGAGGAAAGCAGACGAGTGGTACTCTAATATTTCAGATAATATTAGAATATATAATAATAATATTCAGACAATATTAGAATAGATAATATTAGAAGTTTTAGATCTGTTTTAACACTTTATTCACCAGAAGTCTGTTAATAAGTATTTCACTGATTGGGCTGTACGTGAACGAATCTCAAGAATTTCCTTTTAAATAACAATTCCGGAGGAAATTGTCGCATAACATTGATCAAAATTATTTATTGAATTATAAGTGAAATTTCTATCTCTTTTGGAGCGTTTCTTAAGAAAATCCCATCTGTGGATTTTCGATTTTGAAAGGAATATTATAGAAAACTGCCGGTAGACGAAGTGTTAAATTGGACGTAAATATATGACTGAATACGAATAAGAACATCAGGAGCATATTGCTTGCCAAGAATGACATTCAAAAATCAAAACGGTATTCATAGTTGAAATCATAGCGGCTTAAGTCACATTTTCCTCATTGCAAGAAACAAGGAGTATTATCGTTCACTAACACGCGTGTACCGTTTACTAATCAAATTTCTTATGAAACTAATTTACAGTTAAGTTAATTTACAGTAATTTTATAATTTATTTCATTCGTCTTTTTAACGTTCTGGCATGTGTAGATTACATTTTAAGGCACAAGCCAACATCTTCGAAGATGTGACATACGCCGCTATGATTCTAATTCGCTCGTTTCACTGCTTTCCTCTACCCCACTGCCAAGCAAATTGTCACCCACACCGTAAATATTCGACCGGCATTGTCTCATCCTGGCCCTGCTTCTCGCTGCGTCGATACGGTGAGGTCGACACCGCGAGTAACCCCCGTTAATTGCGGCAATTATTGGTTTGGGGAACAGCAACTGGACGGGAAGTCGCGGGAATGGCTGGTGAGGGCGGCGCAGGGGGATTACCAGGCGTTGGCGAAGCTGGCCGGGGAGGAGCCTCGCTTAACCGGGCTGAAGGTAAGTCTAATTACGATCTTTAATTTTTCTTGATCTGTTTTTTTCGCGGGTTCTCGAAGCCGCTCGATGTATCGTCGCGTGTCTCGAGCCGCGCAGGTGAGGATAAAAAAGGAAAAGGAGTGACGATAACAGAGCCGGGCCGCGTCACGGCGAACTCGGGGCCACGGTATCGCTCGTAAATTTCTTTCGACTTGAAATAATTACCAGCCGAATCTCGTGGCCTCGTGGTCCGGTTAAAAAATTGTGGATTCGCGCGCGATTCGTCGCCGTTTGCCGGGGCCGTTATCGTTTCGACGCAGACGCGGCCGGGAACGGATCTCTCTCTCACTGAGTTACGGCCCCGCCGCCTCCGGTGATAATGACAAAGGTGGCGGGCCAGAGGTTCGGAAATATAATTACGGTGTGGCTTACCGTAGGCCCGGGATCAGGCCGTTATTACACGCACGGCGGAACTTAACACCTGCGGCGTTGTAAATTCGCCGTTTTCGCGCGCCACCATTGACAGGTCAATAAATCTAAGAGCCCCCGTGGCAATCAGGCGGCCGGTGTACACCAAACCGCCAATATGTGGAGCGGATCACCAGTTGTCCGATACCGACCAGTTTAAGGATTATTCACACTATTGATATTCGTTGTTATGCGTGTAAGGGTCGCGCCGGCCGACATCGAACCGACCCCGAGAGATTTCCGGCCGAGCTCGAATCAATTAGTCTTTCTAAACTGCGGCTTAACCGTGCTTCCGGCCCCTGTTACCTTCTTCATTCTCCGCTTTCGTTGCGCTTTCAGCCTTTATCGGAATAAGTATTTTGCTCGATATTATCCTCCTGCACATTTTCAGCTCTTTGTTATCGCGATTATACCGTCATGATATATGTATTGGGTTGTCCGGAAAGTTCCTGCCGATTTTTTAGGAAAATTAAAACGCGGCTCATTGAAATATTGGTATACATTTATTAAATTATACAGGTACCATTCTGTTCCACAACCTTTCTCCATCTTTCGTGCAGCTTGAGAATTCCATCCTTCCAGAACCTCTCAGGTTTTTCGGCAAAAAATTTGTCGTTCTTGATCTGCAAGGTCGAAATTTCCAGCTTTAAACCGAGCAAACCACTTCCGCACAGTTCTTTCGGCCACAGCATCCTCGCCATAAACAGCGCGTATCTTATTTGCCGCTCGTGTGGCATTTCTGCCCTTTCGGAAAAAGAAAAGCATTAAATGCCTGTAATGCGCTTTATTTGCCACCATATTCTAAGGCGTACAAAACTGATAAAAATTAACGAATCGTAACCAAACTTTTTTCCAAACATGGCTGAAGTTATCTCTTTTAGAATATGTACACATGTCATTTGTTTTCAATAATTGTGATATATTCGGTCAGGTCTCTCACGCTACCTACCGAAAATCGGCACGAACTTTCCGGACAACCCAATATATGTAAAAATGTAGATGTTCCAAGTCGATATGATATCGGACCCAACATCTCCAACATTTTTACTAGGTCAAAATCCTTGACATAATCTTGACCTAGTAGTACAAAATTTCGCGTTTCTATTTGACAATTTTTGTTCTCATTGAACTATAGTAAAAAATACTCCTTAACATCCTTCGATATCAAATCGCGAATAAAACACCATTTCACCTTGAGTGACAGTTTACACGTTTACAGTTAGTTTTTGCCCCTCGAATAGTCTATCGAGCCTTACTCAAAATACTAATAACTATTTAATATGCATTGCTAGTACTATTCAATGATTTAAGGTAAACTTATTCGCATCGTGTATACAATGCTATCGAATACAATTGATTTTCGTTTATCAGAGCGGTGAAGATGAATATTAACTGCATTAAGCTTTATGTCAATCTCGGTCTTCGATGTACATCTTCGATAAAAATAAATGTATAATTATCCAAGAAAGTAAAAAACGTACAGCAATTTCCTTAACAGGATAAATGTAAGAAATCTTAAATGACGAATTCACAGAGTAAGTACTCTGTCATCTAGATCTTGGCGCAAGGATTAATTGAGTTGTTTTACATGTAAGATCGTCAGGAATCTAGCAACGAAAGAAACAGAAAACACCGGTAATCCAGGCCAAATAGAGGAATACACCTATAGCGTCTTGTTAGCGTAGAGTAAACGAGGTGTAACGTGATTCTAGAAGAACGCGGACTATAAGCAATTAGCGATGGAGACGTATAACGCGTCGACCAGCGGCAGAGGGTCGATTAAAACGCGAGCCATCATCGTCGTATTAGTCGGAGGGTAGTAAAAAGCGTCGGCCACGAACGACAACGCGGTCGTTGTTAGCACGCGTCGTTTCTCGACCGAACAGTTCGAACCAGCCTTAACGGCCGTTCGCGGAGAACATCGATGGAAAAGGTGTAGGAGGAAGGAGCATAGGATGGAAAGCGGTTGGGAAGGGCGGAAGGGTTGGTTTCGGTGGGTGGTAGGGAGGGATGTAGCACGGTGGCCGGAGGTGGCCGGAGGTGGCTGGAGGTGGCGGTCTGTGAAAAGGGGGATGGAGGCGGCTCAACCGCACAGGGGCTGCGTGCTGAATTCATTCCGCTGGACAAGGTTGCCCCACACCCGGCTCCAGGCCACGTCGGCCTCATCCCTTGGGATAAATTGGCCGAACCCGCGTGTTTGCGGATAACATCGCCGCGATATACGCTCGCCTATGGCCGCTCCGCTACCAACGTAACCATACACGGCCTCGTTTTTGCAACGAGAGACTCGCGCTTCGTGGAAATTGGCAACGAACTTCGCTCCGTTGTCTTTTTCCAGTCTGCTCTCTCCCTGCGCGCACAGACGCGTTCTACACGCGCCGTCTATCACGCGGACCGGTTTGCGCTCTCGCGGGGAACGCGATATACGCCCGCGGGAAAATGTTTTTCCACGGCGAGCTGTTTTATTTCCGTGCCCCGGGGCCTTGTAGTCCTTTTAGTCTTCTGAAATTTGTTTCTTCCGCGCCGCGGCCCCTCGACAACCTTCCGCGGAATTGATTCCGCGCCGCTCTTCCGTTCCGGTTTGCCCGCAGATCTAGAGCTATTCCGACGATTCGAATCCTGGTCGTCTGCAGTTAAGTGACATTCTTCTCAGCGATTCTTTAGGCATGTCGAGCCTCCGCTTTTTCGAACAAAGTAGTTGTTGGACACGTCGATCTTAGTGTATCTTTAACTTCAAAAACTTCAAAGTGGTGACGGACATCGAATTGGTTACTAACGTCAGTGATGATGTACGTCACATTAATTCCGTATCAATTTGTCTATAATGTGTTTATTATCTAAACAGTGTCATCAAAAAGAGAATCATTTGGATCGAGAGACACTCGTAAATGCAGGCGAGTGCAAGTATGCAGGCTTACGAGAAGCGCGCCGAAACAACTGATTGTATAACACGCATCCGGGCTAATCCGAGGTCAATTCTTTTTGCATTTTAATTGCGAATCGTTCGCGAATGTAATGAGACAAGTCGGAGGAAATATAAACTAATTCGCCACCAAAGTTTCAGAATTGCGAAAAGAAACGACTGAATTCTTCATTATTTTCAAGCGTTGATGTTTCGCGTGTTGAAGAAGTTAAAAAGTCAATATCGGTGTCTGAAAAAACAAGCATTTGACAGTTTAGATAAAATCTTAAAAATCCGTAAGTGTCAGCCTTTTCGGGGCAAAATAACCCACTCTGTGCGCCGTAGCGAAAGCATTAATTGTGCGTATTCAATAATTCCATATCAAGAATTGCGCTAAAGGATAGTCTCATGTTGATCTGATACCTTTTACATTTGAGCCGTTTGTTTTGAAAGTGGCATAAGTCACTTTGTTTTTAAGTCGATATATTTAAGGGTTTGCGTTTTAACACGTTTAAAAATATGGATGCTAACTTTCGAGAAGATTTACTCGTATTTGTTATCTCGGGTTACTGATATTTTTCTCAGTATAAATAATTTCGTATGAACATTAAAAGATCACCACTTTTCATTACGGTAAACTGACTTATGCCACTTTCAAAATAAACGGCTCATTTGACGCAAACCTAATGTCTCTCGTCTGGTTTCATTGTACTAAAGTTGTGGATCGGGATGAACGCTATTGGATCGATCAACTGGTTGATATAACTGGGATAGCGAACAACTTCGAATGCCCAGCAAAAAGTGTAAAAACATCGAAGGTACTTTCCTGGTTGTACTCGTTGTTACCCCACCAATCATTCCGGGCTTGTTAATGCGGAAATTCGGTGTCGTTGATACCGGAGGGATGTAACGTGGCAGTGAAGGCTTCGACACGTGGAATATATATGTATGTATGTATGTATGTATGTATGTATGTATGTATGTATATATATATATATATATATATATATATATATACATGTGTGTGTATATATGTATATATATTAATCCATCGATGAATATGCAACGGTCAGGTCGCGAGGGGCACGGGGCGCGGGAGACAAAGTGAAGCAAACGACGGGGCGATGTCGTCGGGAGAGGGGACGGGGCAGGTCGGTAGGCATTCCAATTATTCCCCCAGTAATTAAATCAACACGGAAGCTAATCAACGTGACTCCCACTCGCACGCTCGCTCTCGCTCCTCCCCCGGCTCCCCCAGTCCTCCCCCCTTTTCCGTTGAATTTTTGCTCGGATAAATAAATCGGCCGATTACCCGATGAACGGACGGAAAATCGTATTTCACGGTCGATCGAGGCGAAGATGTCCACTGAATAATTGAAACAAATTCATTATGTCCCTCGATCGTTCCAACTGCACCGTAAACTGCAGCAGGGGCCCGAAAGCGCTCCGGATGTATTTGTTAACTCATTTGCATCGGTACGAGCCTCGAAAATTATGCTCGTGCCGATGAATCTGGGTTTTTTTTAATATAGTGTGTCGAGGGCAAATGGGTTTTGCGGCTCGATTCGTTTTGGAGATAGTAAATGTTGAGTATAGCGAGCTGCTGATTTTATGCACTTGTAACTGAACTCGGTATTGAATTCATTAATAA